AACGGGAAGAACATTGATGTCAAACGAATATGCATCCTCATTCATCCTGATTTTTTTGTATGAAATCTACGTCTTTTAGTCTCATAACTACGTGTTGTGGTCTTTTTCTTTTTATTGCGTTATGATGTTTTGAAGAAAATCTGTACGTGTCATCTATACCACTGGATAATTGATATATAAGTTCACTAACAATGATACCACTGTATAATTGATATATATGTTTCTAGAGTATACCAATGTATAACTGGTATATATGTTTCCACACTATCAACTATACCACTAAATATTTTATACTAGCGATCCTGGCTTCGCTCGGGTTATTACGTTGATTTATTCTAGATGACTATGTCAGTGTGTGTATTCTGAACTCATATTAGCATAAAAGTATAACCTATATACTTTTGGGATGTGGCCTGTTTATAAAGATAATCTTCCCTCTGACTTGTCCTCCGATTTTAAATTTAAATAGCAAAAACAAACCTGTTTAATTAACCGAACCTCTAAATTAGAAAACAACAAATATTTTTTTCAATTTTCTAGTTTATACATTTCATTTTATGCTTTCAGCACATAGCCTCTTAACAACAATATTAGGTTATACTTTTATTGCCAAGCAACATGATATAAAAGCCATTGTTGGAACGCATTGTTACCAAAACGCACTAGCTATCTATATATTAGAAGTTGCTATATAAGGAACCACTTCTTTTCCATGTGGTTTTTCGTTTGTTTGCCTTATTAAAAAGATGCGTACATGCACGTAGATAAGATAAGTAGTAATACCCAAGTGCATACCCTCAGGGTCCACTTAGTATGGGTGCAAAATTTCAGGTTTATAGTTTCTTTCATCTTAGAACTATGGCGGTCACATTTCTTTTCTATGTAGTGTTTAACATAAAACAATGCGCACGCACGTAGACAAGTAATAATAACCAGATGCACACCCTCAGGGTCCACTTAGTATGGGTGCAAAAATTTCAGATTTCTAGGTTCTTTCCTCTTGGAGCTATGGCTGTCACAGATGCACAGACACGCACGTGCGCATGCACAGACGTGCGTGCCTGTCTGTGATTTCTATTTGTAATATAAGGAACTGTTTATTTTCTATGTGGTTTATTGCTCCATTGCCTCATTAAAAAGATGCGCATGCATGAACGCACGTGGATAATATATGTAATAATACCCAGGTCAGACACTCAGGGTGCAGACACTGTCACATAGTATGGATGCCAAATTTTAGGTGTCTAGGTTCTTTCTTCTTGGAGCTATG